GCATGGGGCTGTACCATCCCACCGGAAACACACGAGCCAGCACCAAATCACGCTACGGATGTGCTTCGGATTTATTACGGGGGCTTATCTGGGCACTTTGGGACTTCAAGACTTTGGGGGAGGTTGGCACTTTGGGTGCATTGTGAGACGAGTCGTGGCAAGAGGGCGGAACTTGGGAAGAGTCAAGAAATTAATTCTTAATTGGTGTTGATTGCATCGCTTTACGGGAGAGATTGCACCGTTTTTGCGGTTCCCAGTTTCTCTTTATTTGATGGATCTTCGAAGGATGGTCTCTACGGAGGTGCGTGTTCGTATAAACCTGGGTATGGATTCTGCGAGAATGCCAACGCGCCAAGGGGGCCGGACAGCCGGACTTGCGGACCCGTGGATCCCGCGGTTGAGAGACTGGAGTCCTGGACGTTGGAGATTGGAAAGAGTCAGTACTCAAGAGGCCGAGGGTGGAAGAAGCCGATAGCGCACTTCTTGACAAAGCATCGTCAAATACCAATACATGTGTAAAAGTTTACAGCCTTGTCGGAATTCCTAGTCATACCGTCAGATGGAAAGAGGAAAACGATACGAAAACACGAGAAATAATGAAAAAGGTGAAAACTACAGAGAGAATGGAAACGCTGACGGACTTGCAAACCCCCAAAAGGTGTTTCCTCCGCTGTACTACTATCAGTAAGGCGAGCCCTTCCCCCTTGGATTTTGGACTGTTCACGCCAGTCCCAAACTGACAGACGAGGGAAGTGGAGGCGTTTTGCATTACTAGAGGATTGCCGCAGTATATATAGACGCTACCCTGCCCTCGAATTCCGTACTATTTAACCTTAACCCTTTTCTTACCTATCTTTTCCTCTATTCTACCCTCTCCCTCGTTAAGGGATTATTAAAATTATAATTTTAATAGCTTATTAATAAGTTAATATTACTATTTAAAAATAAGTAACTTATTTTTATATATAGGTACTAGGAGTTTTATTATTATAAAAATAATAATAAATATATTAAAGTATTTAAAAAAGCTTTTTAATAAATTTTTAATACTATTTAAAATAATTATCCTCGAGCTATAAGAAAAAGCCGAGGTATTATATTAATACGGCCTTATCCGTTTTATTAATATTAATAATACCTTTTTTAGTATAAGATATATTAATAATACTCTACGGCTATATTATTATACTTTATAAATCGTACTTAACGATAGTAAAGATTCTAGCGTTTTTTTTTAAGTTTTTTATTAAGGTCGTTATTATAAAGTTAGTTTAGTTATTAGTATTTTAATAAGTATTTTAACTTAATATACTTAGAGGCTTTTATAGCTCTTAATAAGAGGCTTTTAAAGGACTTATAATCAGACTTTTTATTTATTATAGGCGAAGTTATTATAATTAAAGCTATAGTAATTAAAACTATAGCGCTACTTATAGACTTTAATAATAAGTAGTTAATAATATAATTATCTTTTTCTTATAATAAGCTTAAAAAAGTATTTTAATTTAAGTACTAAGTAGGTACTATATTATTTTATTAAAACTATATTCTTATACTTATAACTTAGAAAGAATTAACTTTCTTCGATAATAAGGTACTTAGAGGGAAGTGGAGGATAATTATAAAGTGGCTCTGGACCGTTGTGTTAGACCACATGCGCCTCCTTAGCGCCTTGGCGCGAATCTATTCCCGACGCGCAGCGTCTTTCCCCCCAGGCTCGGCTGCAGTGGACAATTTTTGTCTCAATCTGAAAAAACAATCTGCAGCCTGCAGAGTGCTGACAGCTCTACGAGGAATTTTACAGAGTTAAGTGGGCTTAAAGAAGACTCTTGAAAGGGGTTAGCCGCAACCGCGCGCAACGGTCCTTTAATCTGGTCTTGAAGTGTCGTTCAGAGAGCGACCAACCAAGCATGGTCCATCCCGGCCCCCACACCCGCATATAATGTCCTTGTTGAGGTTAGGTAAGGCAGAGCTAGCGACATTTGAAGGGAGTGGAATACGGGCTGAGGGAGAGAGTCAAGACTCTAGACCTTGTCAAAGACTTCATAGTTGCCATGATGAAATGATTGTGCTCAATAGAAACTAATTCAGATCTTCGAGGCTGCGGACTCAAGAAGTGGGCTTTATTTGTATCGACAGACGAAATCGAGTAAGAAGGACATCTTCTTTGATGGAAGTATGTGGAGACTGCGAGAGTTGAGCGAGTAAGAGGTGGGAAAGGGTAAGGTGCTTTTGGCATCTTTCGGCTAGGCCATCCCACCCCCTTGTCTAATGTATCCCGCGCACTTAGATTGGGAAGGATGCTCCGGGTATGGTACATATATCCAATGGTCGACCATGTTTCCTTCGTTGCTGACTTGCTCTCTCTCTCTTGTCATCACCTTCATTCTTTCTCAACCTCGTTCTTTCGCTGTGTGTGCATCGCAGGACTTGGCTGGTTCATGTTCTGATATTTCCACTCAGGCTTTAACCTCACATTCGTTTTTGACACTCTTTCAAGTCACCCACTCTCTCTAACCCAAAACTCATCGTTCCTTTGTCCCACAAACTCCACCCAGACGAATCCCTCAATTCAACCAACTCTCAGCCTCCAACTTAAACCCACCACCCAAAAGTCCAAAATGCCATCCATCGCATCCACCGCCGCGGCGGTCGCTTTCGCCGCCACCTCGGCCCTGGCTCTGACCTCCACCTCTGCCAAGTCCGACCTCGACGGCTCCGTCTGGAAGATGCTCGAGGGCACCTCCCCCGCCGCCTCGGCCCCGCAGGTCCGCGCGCGCAACCGCCCCACGAAGCGCCAGACGGGCTGGAACCCCCCCTCTGAGCTCTCGGGCGCGTTGAAGGAGGTGTGGGCGCACTACGAGAAGACGTACGACGGCGCCATCGAGGGCAACAAGAACTGGGGCTGGGACCAGATCATGGCCAACAACGGGTGAGTACCTTTTTCGCCTTCACATCCGACGCAAACAAGAAGACTAACACCCGCAGCTCCATCAACGTCTGCGTCCGCTGGGACTCCAACTCCCCCATCACGGCCGCCCAGCGCACCAAGCTCGCCTCGACCTACGCGGCCCAGTACCAAAAGTGGTTCAAGTGGCTCTACGGCTTCGACGGCTTCCCCTACGCCAACATCGACGTCAACATCGTCGGCTACGCCACCAACAACACGGCGCTGCTCGAGGGCTCGACCGACGGCTTGGACGTGTACACCTCCTTCGCGGACCCGCAGGGCATCCCCGCGTGCGACCCGGCCTGCGACCGCGACGCGCACCTCGACGGCGACTACAGCGGGTGCAAGGGCGGAGCGGCGCGCCACTTTGACAGCTCGCTCCAGCTCACGGACGGTTTGGAGGGCGGGTTCGGGTATTCTTGGGGGCAGCAGGTGGGCAGGGAGTATATGCTGAACAACCTCGACTCGGAGAGCATCCATATCCTGCTGCACGAGATGGGACATACTTTTGGACTGGACGATTTCTACGACTGGGAGCCGACGGGACAGAGCAAGTTCATCATGCTTGCCGGGTCCGCTATGGAGGTTACGGATTTCGATGGGTGGATGTACCGTAACTGGTGGTACGAGCTCTCGCAGAAGCGCGGATGGGCCAAGACGGGCTCTGGATCCGGGGCTGTCGCTTCTGGTGCTGCTTCGACTTCTGCCACGCCCTCCGCTACTGCGTCTGCTTCGGCTTCTGCTGCGCCGATTGTCAAGGAGGAGGAGGAGGTCGCCGAGACACCCGTCCCCACGCCGACTCCCACCCCTACGCCTACGCCTACCCCGACGCCTGCGTCTTCATCTTCCGCTGCCGACGTTCCCGTCGCGACGTGCGCCGAGACTGCTGCCGAGCCTAGCGCGGCTGCTGCGGAGGAGTCCGGGTCCGAGATGGCGGCGAAGTGGAGCCAGTGCGGTGGGGCTGGGTACTCCGGGCCCACTGCTTGTGTTTCCGGGTTGACTTGCACCAAGACTAATGAGTGGTACTCGCAGTGCTTGTAAGCGGAGCGTGCACTATACTTGAAAGGGGTGTTTCCAGCCTGGGTGATTTGCATCTTGAAGGCTTTGTTGCGAGACGTTGCGAGAGTGAGGTGGGATGATGGCGTGTAGTGGTTGGATGTGGGCTGGGTGCCGTGGTTGACGTGGCTTGGCCGCATTGCATCGACGTTGTATTCTTATTCTGTGTATTTACATTGCGGACTACGGACGTGGTCTGTGTATTTAAAAGACGAAATGTAAATATTTCACATCATTCCTTGTCATTTTGTCGCACTCTCCGGTCCCTCAAGCCTGATGTTCAAGCACGATTTGGGTCTCGACACAATTTGTCTTCAGGTTGCACGTCAGAATACATGCAATGCTACTGCTAGCACCCGAGGGAGCAAAAATACCACTAAACGACACATGTTGCAATGAACAATGCTGACAGGATATATAGGTCGCAGAGGTGGGCGCAGTCTCGATGAGAGGCAATAAAGTGAGGCAGAGCAGCTAAAGTCAAAAGACAAAAGGCAGAGACTAGCTCGAAATTTCCGCTCTTCAGCCGAGGTTGCCATGGCCGCGGAATGATAGGCTATCAACCACTAAGGCTTCCCGACCACTTACCCCACCGGCTGATGAGTATTCTGAGCAGTTTGCGAGATATCACACATTCGTCAACATCCTACGTACAGGGGCCACCATTCCTGAGTAAGGTAGCTAATCATCGTGTCACAGCTTTTTCGAGCTGTGGTGGTTGGAACATGGAGAGGCTTTCATGTGCGAATTCTTCCGCGGCCGCACATGGAACGTATCTGGCATGTGCGAATCGGGTTCAAAAAGCACTGTATACATGATCGCCCGGAGGCGTCTGGGGCCCCGATCGATTGTGGATCAAGGAAGGTAGGTACGCATTATGGTTCGTGGGATGGAAGGACCGGGCCATGCGTCCCGCGGGGCCGGTACGACTAGTGCGCATTCGTGCGTGACAGATCCAACCCTAAAATTCAACGACATTGCTGACATAAGCCTCTCAACTCGTCTGGTAGCAACTCCTGCTGCTTGAGCCTTGTGCCTGGCGCATATCCCGTGCCCAGAACGGCTCATCTATGCCAAAGGTAGCACAACGTGCCAGCATCTTCATTCGCTCAGAATCTTGACATTGCGGGGACCAGGCAGGGTGTTCATCTCCGCAATTGGGACACCGGAACTTGGTCCCTGGGGCGCACTCGGATGTCTTGTGCTGACCAGCGCATTTCCCACAAGTAGAGTGCAGTTGGTTGCACTGATTCTCCATGTGACCCGGCTCGTAACACTTGTAACAGTAAAAGGGCTTCAAGCGTACATCAACAGCCCTGGGGTACGTATTAGCTAAATTTCAGCAGGGAAGTTGAAGAGGTGACCTACTCGATCTTGGCTGAGCAGAAGTCGATGCGAAGGTCGTCTCCTTGTTGTTCGGCAGTTTCGATTAGTTTCCACGCCACGGTCGAATCAGTGAAACGAAGCCAGACCGCGTTTCCGTTGACCGCTGGTTTGAACATCGTATGGTAGATACCAAAATCCTCGAACCAACGCAAACCCGAATCGTCCTGGATCATCTCACGTGTAATCTTCTTGCCGTGCAATGTGGCCCTAACCCAATAGAACTCGGGGTAGAGGACGAAATTGGTGACAGTCACATTCGTCGCGGCTGTTAGATGTGCAGCGTTTGGCTTAAAGGCCTGAGCATCCGAGAGGTTCTTGAAGGTAATCCACATGACTTCCTTTTCTTTTCCCCGCTCGATTTTATCGACTCGTGAGTACACCGAGTCATGCGTGGATAGTTGGCCGAGGATGGCGCTCCGGTGTTGGTCAAAGGCAGCAAGGGCATTGGGTGGCTCGATCTTGACCTTGACAGATTTGGCGGTTCGTTGTGTTCTTGCTGGGCTGTTGTCCTTCCTCTCGCTTTCACGTGGCTCAGCACGTAGCCCCAGACGTTTGAAGCCTTGTTCAAACTGATATTCGATCAGACGTGTCAATCGGTCCACGTCGGACTGGGGTCTTCTGACAGCCCTAGCGCCGGTATTGCGGCTTGACTTGCTGTTCTTCGCACTCCGATTCCGAGTCTGGCTCTCGCCTTGAGCCTGAGCCTGGTCTTGAGCCTGATTCTGATCCGGAACCTGAGCCCGGTCAGGGGTGTAGCCAGGAGCCGGTGCCCGACCATCACTGATAGTAGCTTTGGTCGCGGAACTGCTTCCGACCGACGGCGCATTGGCAGCGGCCTGTTGAACCGGAGACACAACACGCGCGGTCCTGTTGGATGAGCTGGTGTGGCTACTGGAATGGCCCGGCTGGGTCTCCAATGGCATGACTGTCGTGGGGGTAAAGGTGGTTGTGGCATCGGACGCTAGCCCCATGGTTGCATCTTCTGCTGTATTGTGTGGAGTTGGAGGCTCTTGAATGAGAGGAGTAGGGCTCTGGTAAGAGGCCCTGGAGACATGGGGAGGAGCTGGGCTAATAGGACCGCCATAGGAAGTGCCAGTCGCGAGGCTGGCATCATTCCAGTGCATGGTAGCGTTCTGATCGGCAAGATCCTGCTTATGGGGAGGGCCGCGAGAGTAGGGGGCCAAGGTTGTGCTGCTGGATGCAATGAAGCCAGTAGGGAAGTGATTGGGCGATTGAGGGTAGTTGTTGGTGCACTTTTGCTGCATGGACGGAACCCGCAGAATGTCGGGCACAATATTCATAGAAGGCTCGATTCCGAAGGTAGCGCCACGGCTAGACAGCTGACCAGGAGAGCCCCTATGAAATTGATTGTGGGAATGAAGAGGTTGCGGATGAGAGACATGTTGACGCTGGCCCAGCATTCCGCTATGTTGAGGGCCATTCTGACCGGGAGGGTTGGCGAACACGTCCCCATTGTATCCATAGGAATTGGGGTTGTGTCCGTACGGGGGATAGTTCATGGTGGCAGATAAAGCAGTGAGAGTAGAATGAGAGACTGATTGGAAGTATGAGTAGCTGAAGTATGTGTTGTCCGTGTGGTGAGGTGAATTGATGTTTTCGATGCCAGAGTACCTGCTACCGTAGGTGGGAACCTCTTTTATTCGACTTGAAGGTAAGATCTGGTGAAACGAATCAGCCAACTCATCAGAAGTGCACGACCACCAGAATACCTTGGGCTCCAAAAAAGAAAAAAAAATAAAATGCCATAAGAAAATGAATAAACAGCCAATCAAAAAAAAGGAACGCAGGTGGCGAGAGTAGTGTGGGCAAATGGTCACTGATTCGGACACGACACCACGATGAACAATGGAAGGTACGTACTACCTTAGCACCGTGTCTTTTCCACGGTACCTAAGATAGGTAGGTACCTTAAGGTACTCCTGATGGAAGTGGGCAAACTGCCCGTTTCCTATCAGTGAGGTCTTGATAAGATCGGTACCTTACATGGGGGTTCGGTGGCAGTTGGGTGGCAGTGGGTCTCTCATGGGTCTAGGACTCTACCTCACATTAGGTAGGTTTGGGGTTTAGACCTAAGGTACTCTAGACCTAACTTTGGAGATCTTGAGAACCCACCTTATCAGGTTCGCACTCCACCGACCTGTCACCTGCATGGGCCGGCAGGGACAAGGTCGCGTCACGCGAAATTGCCAAAGCGACGAGAGATATGGCAAGCGGCAGTGCTTGCTTTTCTTGGGGTAATTACGGCGTAGCTGCAAAAGTGTGAACATGAGCAGTTGCCACCATCAACAGTGATTGCCACATACATACTGTGTAGGTACCGTGCCCACCTTGGCTACGGATACCGGGAAAAGCGAGCAAACCGAAGCTTCCGTCCCCTTGATTAGGTACGTATCTACTTGAAACTCCTCGGATAGGGGAACAAACTCGGTAATTCTGCCTCTGATTTGAATTCCTCCATCTTCCTATTCGGACCGAGCGTCTTCCAATGGACCCCGTTGTCACAATCAGCTCGAACAGGAGTCAGCCATATATGTCGGCCATGCTCCTGTCTCGAGCCTTCGATGACACAACCATCGCCTCTTTCCGTTCGACTCAAGATTGCATTTTGTCTTCCTTCATCTTTTCGTCCTACCACAGCGGTCTGAGAAATCTCTGGTGGTCGAAAGGCGCCACGCCGTCCGTCAAATCTTTCTTCGTTGCATTCGAAGCATCGGCCAGACAGTCGCCAACATGAGGCTGCTCTTCTTCCGCAAATGAATATTCCCGTGTTACGAACTTGGTATTTGTGCACGTGAAGACCCTCATTGTGTGCATTGGTCAGACTAACGCAGTCATCAGCCCGTATGTGTAGACGACAGTTTTCTCGCACGAGATCGCGGCGAGAGCATGGTTGCCATTCGCTCACAAGGCCGCACGGCCCGTCGTCTTCGGGCCTTGACGACGAATACAGATGCTGTGAGTCTCTCTCTTCAGGTTTCTGGCTCCAAAAAGTCACATGACAGGCTGACCATCCTTGCAAATGTAGTGCAAGTCTCCTTGCCTCGAGCACAGCCAGCCACAAATACCCACTCCACCCTCAGCATCGAGTCCCTCCGCGGAAGGGCAACATGTCCAGATACCTTCCAGTCCGGTAAGTTGAACGACGTACCTTGCTTGCAACAAGTCTGACCAAACCCCCAGGCCGCCGCGGTTGCCACCATACCGGGGCTTCGCCACACGTTTGCCTCTCTTTCCACCAGCACGGAAGCCCATCACTACACCCTGGAACACCTCGACATACTGCAGGCCAACGTACGCAGAGAATCTCAGCGTGTCCGTTTTCTGGCGGATCACGGATCCACTTTGGATCGAGTCCCCGCCATCCTTGCCATACAAGACCCTCCAGTCGAGGTGTTCCAGCTATCAGATTACCATTACGAATATCGAAGCGACTGGGGCATCATCGACCACGAAGACAAGCCATCCCTCGACAAAAAGGGGAAGCAGAAACAAGGCGTCCGGCGCGTGGCATTTTACGTCCACAAATCGATCAACTTGAACTCTTGGAGGGTTGAGTGGGATGTGCCGCACGGCGAGGGATACATCGCCATGTTGGTGCTCCGTCTTGATAACGACAGCGAAATCAAGATCTACAACGTCTACAACCGCAAGCCGGGCAAGTCCTTCATCATGAAGAACTTTTTTGCCGCATGTCGGAACCTCGACAATTGTTTCATCCTTGGCGACTTCAACGCCCATCATAAGGACTGGTCTCTTCCTGACCCCAAGGGGAAAAGGCCAAAAGGGGATACACATGGCAGAACTCTCAACTCAGCGGCAAAGAAAGCAGGGATGCGTTGCCTCGTCTGCAAGATCCCTACATATCGGAGTGGTTCTAAACAATCAACCATTGACTTGGTCTGGGCTGGGAAGGAACTCCGTCGTCGAAATCCAAAGGTCCGAGTTGAGGATGCTCGTGGGTTCCACGAGGACCATTGTGTCATCTACACCACTCTGGACGCTCGAGTTAGTCAGGACGGTAGTAGGAAGTGGAAATTTGATCGCATGAACAGTGTGGACAAAGCGAAATTCAGGAAGAAGGTGGGCGCTACACTGCGTCTTCTGCGAGACTCTGACAAATCCTTGCCGGACCTGTCTTCCCCATCGCGCATCAATCTTTTCGCCTCGGATATTATCAACGCTGTTCAGCTTGCAACCGAAACTTGCGTCGAGAGTCAAGTGCGGAACCCAAACACGCCTCGGAAACAACTACCGCTTACACCCGCTATACGAGACCATCTTGCACAAGAGAGAATTGCCATGAGCAAATTGCGCCGGATGACAGTTGGAAAGCGACCATACCAGAAACAGCTACAAGTTCTTGAAGCCCTCCACAGCAAAAGCAATCGTCTGATGAGACTCGAAGGCAGGAAGCATTGGCGGTGCAGAGCTGCCATTCAGTCTTTCCAGGACCCAGGGCTATGGTCGCTGGTGAGGTGGGCGCAACGTCGTAGCAAGATCCAGCGACCACCGCATATGCCCATGTTCAAATCTACCGTAAACAATCAGACCACCATTTGCGGTAGCTCAGAGGAGAATGCCAAGGTTTTCCGGGATTCGATATGGGAGAAAACGCGCGATTGTCCCCCTGACGAGGTCCCGCAGGGTGGGACGTCGAATCTGCTGCACACTGGGTGCCAGATTCCGGCCGCTCCAGCAAGTCCTGCTGGGGGCCCTGATTCGACGCCTGTATGCTGCAACACGCCCACCACACCATCCCTTCCCGAAAGCGTTTCCGAAAGCGTTCCCGCCACACCAGCAGAGTCGCAAGGTACTTCTTCCCCTGCATCAGACTCAACCTCTTTTGCACCTCCGCCTGGGGTCGACCCAGCCCATTGGGCTGCTGCCTTGTCCAGGGAGAGAGCCAAGACTGAAGGTCAGAGAAAAGCCAGAGCTGAAGTCAGGGCTAGGCACGCCGCCCAAAAGAAGGCCGAGGCCAAACGCAAGGAGGTTGAGAGGCTCATCAAGATAATGGGACATGACAAGCCTCCACTCATTATGGAGAATCGTGTCGCCAATGTCATCAAACGCCTCAAGACCGGCAAGAGTCCAGGCCCTGACGAAGTCACGAGCGATGCTCTCAAGTACGCGAGCACCTCCCTGTTGCCCTACCTCACGCACCTCTTCAATGCCTGCGTGCGGTTGGGTCATTACCCCGACTGCTTCAAGGCTTCCATCACAGTCGTGCTTGCAAAAGAGGGCAAGTCTGACTATGCCACACCAAAGAGCTGGCGCCCCGTGGCGCTGCTCTCCACTATCGGCAAGGTCTTTGAGCGGCTCATTGCAGACCTTCTTCGGCAAATAGCAGTCCGTCTCGGACTGGTTCCACCCCACCAGTATGGATTCGTCGGCAAAGGCACTTCCAAGGCCGTTGAGTTCATTGCCAATGCGGTGATGGACGGGTGGCTTGCTGCGTTGAAGACGACTCTCTTAGGGCTTGATATTACAGGAGCCTACGACCATGTCAGTTGTGAAGAATTGATCATCATCATGCGCGCCATGGGAATTCCCGAGTGGTTGTTGGCTCTGATCACATCGTTCTTCTCCGATCGAAAAACCAGGCTCCGAATGCCGGGCTATATTTCGATGGAGTTTTACGTTGACATTGGTATTCCTCAGGGAAGCCCACTATCGCCTATTCTCTTTACCTTCTTTGCTGCGCGGATCATCGAGATGTTTGACGAGGAAAACCCCAAGGAAGACCGTGTCTTTGCACTTTCATACGTCGATGATACGTACATCGTTGTTACTTCAAAGGACTATGCGAGAAATTGCGAGCTCATCGAGAAGTGGCATCAGCGAGTTCTGGAGTGGGCCGCACCGCGCGGTATCAACTTTTCTCCAGCCAAGTACAGTGTCATGCACTTTCGAAAGCCTGGTGATCGAGGTGAGCCGTACGAGGGGGTTCCCAACATTCCCAACTTGGCCAAGGACAGCCTGGTCAAGGAAAGGTTGACAAAGAGAAAGAAGAGGGCGGTTCTGAGGAAGAAGCGACAGGACCCAGCGAAGCGACAAGACCCAGCGCTTAGAAACGACGACGATGATGATGAGGAGGAGGAGGAACTTGGCGGTCTTCGAATACTGGGTATTCAGGTGGATCACAAACTGACGTGGGCCGATCATATTGATAGCGTAAGTTTCTCACCATGCCACTCACTCAATTGCCACAACGAACCATGACACAGAGGCAGCCAGCTAACGCATGGCACCACCAGATTGAGCGCAAGGTTGAGACGAAGATGAACTCGCTGCGCGGCCTGCACCAGTCAACGTGGGGACCAGGATTTCATCAGATGAGGAAGATATATCTCACTAGCGTCAGGTCGATCATCTCCTATGGCTGTGCGGCATGGTTCCTCTTTGGCGACAACCACATGATGAAGTATCATCTCACGCAAGCTCTCGTCGACCGGCTTCATTCACTGCAGGCACAATGTCTTCGGATGCTAGCTGGGGCCTT